CGCTCTCGTGCGCGCGCTCGACCCACGGCCACTCACTCTAGCCTGGGCAACAAAGCGAGAGTCTGTCTCAAAAAAAAATAAAACAGGGTTCCCGTTCTGTCTCTCCCTCTCTCTCTCTGTCCAGCTTGGTAAACTGAGGCAGGAGTGGCTGGCGGTGAACTGGGACCCGGTCTGGCCCGGTGGGCAGCGGCAGCTGCGGCGGCGACTCTCCTCCCGCCAGCCCGTCCCCGCCCCAGCCCTGTCGCCGCCCGCGCGCGCCCGCCCCGTGGCACGCGCGCCGGCTGGGCGGGACGGCGCGGCGCGGCGGCGCGCGGGGGGGGCGCGGGGACGCGGCTCCGGTCCCGGCGGGCGATGGTCAAGGCGAGCCGCGTGCGGCCGCAGCAGCGGGGCGCGGCGGGGCGGGCGGGGCCGCGGGGCGGGCGCGCCGCTGGAGATGGCGCGCGTCGCGGGCGGCCGCGCGGGACCCCGCCGGCGCCTCGGCCTCGCCGTCCCCGGCGCCCTCGGCCTGCTCGCGCCAGGCCTGGAGCCGCGACAACCCGGGCTTCGAGGCCGAGGAGGACGAGGACGAGGAGGAGGAGGGCGAGGAGGGCGGCATGGTGGTGGAGATGGACGTGGAGTGGCGCCCGGGCGGCCGCAGGCCGGCCTCCGCCTCCGCCGCCGCCGCCGGGGCCGCGGCCGCGGGCCCCTTGGGGGCTCCGCGCGCGCGAAGCGCAGGCCCGCCAGCCTCGGCCGCCGGCGGCGGCGGGGACCCGCTGCGCCGCCACCTCCCGCGGGACGGGCCGCCGCCGCGGGTGGCCTGGGCCGAGAGGCTGGTGCGCGGGCTGCGAGGTAAGAGCGCGCCCCCGGCGGGAGCCATCGCCCGCTCCGTGTCCCCTGCACGCGCGTCCCCTGCAAGCGCGACCCCTGCAAGCGCGTCCCCTGTATGCGCGACCCCTGCAAGCGCGTCCCCTGTATGCGCGACCCCTGCAAGCGCGCCCCCTGCGAACGCGCCCCCTGCGAACGCGCCCCCTGCAAGCGAGTCGCCTTATGCGCGCCCCCTGCACGCGCGCCCCCTGTATGCGCGACCCCTGCAAGCGAGTCCCCTGCAAGCGCGCCCCCTGTATGCACGACCCCTGGGAGCGCGCCCCCTGTACGCGTGTCCCCTGCAAGCGAGTCGCCTGTATGCGCGACCCCTGCAAGTGAGTCCCCTGCACACGCGCCTCCTGCAAGCGCGCCCCCTGTATGTGCTCCCCCTGCAAGCGCGACCCCTGTATGCGCGCTCCCTGCAAGTGAGTCGCCTTATGTGCGACCCCTGCAAGCGAGTCCCCTGCACGCGCGTGCCCTGCAAGCTTGTCTCTTGCAAGCGCGTGCCCTGTACGCGGGCCCCCTGCACGCGCATCCCCTGCAAGCGCGATCCCTGCAAGCGCGATCCCTGCAAGCGCGTCCCCTGCATGCGCGACCCCTGCGAGCGCGACCCCTGCGAGCGCGACCCCTGCGAGCGCGACCCCTGCGAGCGCGACCCCTGCACGCGCATCCCCTGCGAGCGCGTCCCCTGCATGCGCGACCCCTGCGAGCGCGACCCCTGCACGCGCGACCCCTGCGAGCGCGACCCCTGTGAGCACGCCCCCTGCGAGCGCGACCCCTGTAAGCGCGCCCCCTACAAGCCCGTCCCCTACACACGCGTCCCTGGCAAGCGCACCCCCTGCAAGCGAGTCCCCGGCAAGCGCGACCCCTGCAAGCGCGTCCCCGGCAAGCGCGCCCCCTGCACGCCCATCCCCTGCAAGCGCGTCCCCACCTCCGCTAGCCCCCTCCATTTCCAGTGCCTGGTGCGGAATGCCACTGCGCCCCTGTCCCTGCAGACACGCTGGGTGCCTCCCTTTGGGACAGAACGGCATATCCCTTTTCCTTTCTGCAAATAAGCGACAAAGGTGGCAGGGGACATCCCAGGGTGCTTGTCCTTGCAGGAGAGAAAATGAATATTTTAGTGCCACGGATGGTGGTGGTTGCAACTATATATTTTTGCTAATGCGACAAAATCAAACGAAAATGTCCTACTGTCACCCATGGTCTTCCTCCGGTCTTGAAGTTCGGTTGTGCCCCTCATCCTGGTCTGAAAAGGATACCAGGACAGTGTTATCCACAGTGTGGGAGGGGTGCCGTTAGGTTGGCATTAATGACATGTTCTGGTGGTGTTGTCTCTGGCTGTTTTGGGGACCAGGAGCTGTTGAGGACACCGTGAATATGCGCATGCGTATACACAGGCAAAAAAAAAAAGAGAACACCATCAATAGAATAAAATGGTGTCTATTTAGTTGTTTGGCCTTTTCTAATTCTAGACATTTTTTTCTGAGACAGTTGCAAAGAAAAGTGTACATAACTTTCAAAAACTTGAAAGTCTGTTTTTAAGTAACTAAATTCATGCTCTTTGAGATTCCAACAAAATGATGCAGTCACCAGATACCAGCTGAGAAATGTCTCTTAGTTCAACAGAAGAGTTTTCAAATTTGTCAGTACTCAGTAAAAGGACACGAATGTTCCAACAGCAGGTGGGATCCTGCTTTTCCAAAATTTTGTCAGAGGCATCCTTGGAAAAGTGTTGCATCTGTCCTCACCCTCCAAATTATTTCAGTCTCCATTCTGAAGAGTTTCCATGCTCAGTTCTTTTGAATTTGCCCTGCCCTTCCCTTTCTGTCTGTTTTGAAAATCTTGCACAAAAATTATCCAGATATTGTTCTAGCAATGCGATGAAGACATAGTTAGGCCTGTCCTCAGATCCAAGTTCCAGCACTCATTGGCTGAAGACCTTGAGCAAGTTACCTAATCTCTTGGATCTCCAATGTTTGCATCTATTAGACAAGAAAAGAGATAATCATAATACTTCGCTTTTTTTTTTCTTTAATTTCAAAATATTATGGGTGTACAAATGTTTTTGTTGCATAGATACTTTGTATAAAATGCTTAAGTCAGAGCTTTGACAGACGCTCTGGTGCGTCTGTCACCAGAATAGTGTGCATTGTACCCAACAGGTAAGTTTTTATCACATACCTCCCCTCCCCCCATCCTCCTGTCTTGGTTTCCAATGACCTTTGTATTTCTTTGGGCCCATGTGTAGCCATTGTTTAGCTCCCACTTATTAGTGAGAACGTAGGATATTTGGTTTTCCATTCCTGAGATACTTAGTTTAGGAATGATGGTCTCCAATTCCACCCAAGTTGCTGCAAAAGACATTATTTCATTCCTTTTTATGGCTGAGTAGTACTCCAACATATGTATATACTGCATTTTCTCTATCCATATGTCAATTTATGGGTACTTAGGTTGGTTCCACTTTTTTTTTTTTTTTACAGAGTCTCACTTTGTTGCCCAGGCTAGAGTGAGTGCCGTGGCATTAGCCTGGCTCACAGCAACCTCAGTCTCCGGGGCTCAGCGATCCTCCTGCCTCAGCCTCCCGAGTAGCTGGGACTACAGGCATGTGCCACCATGCCTGGCTAATTTTTTGTATATATATTTTTAGTTGGTCAATTAATTTATTTCTATTTTTGGTAGAGACAGGGTCTCGCTCAGGCTGGTTTCGAACTCCTGACCTTGAGCAATCCGCCCACCTCGGCCTCCCAAAGTGCTAGGATTACAGGCGTGAGCCACCGCGCCCGGCCTGGTTCCACATTTTTTTGCAATCGTGAATTATGCTGTGATAGACATTTGGGTGTGGGTGTCTTTTTGATAAAATGACTTCTTTTCCTTTGGGGGGATTACCCAGCAGTGGGGATTGTCAGATGGAATGACAGGTCCACATTTATTTGTTTGAGGAATCTCCATACTGTTTTCCATAGAGCTTGTACTAATTTGCAGCCTAATTTTATACTAACAGAGTATAAGCGTTGCTTTCTCTTGCCATCCACGCCAGCATCTATTGTTTTTTGACTTTTTAATGCCATTCTGATAGGGGTAAGATGGTATTTCATTGTAGTTTTAATTTGCGTTTCACTGATGATTCGTGATGTTGAGCATTTTTCATGTTGGTTGGCCATTTGTCTGTCTTTTTGAAAAACTTCTGTTCATGTCTTTTGCCCACTTTTTAATGGGGTTGTTTGGGTTTTTTTTCTTGCTGATTTGTTTGAGTTCTTTGTAGATTCTCAATAATACTAGTCGTTTGTCAGATGTAGGATTTGTGAATATTTTCTCTCATTCTGTAGGTTGTCTATTCACTCTGCTCATTATTTCCTTTGCTGTGCAGAAGTTAATTTAATTAAGTCACATTCATTTATTTTTGCTGTTGCTGTATTTGCCTTTAGTGCCTTTGTCGTAAATTCTTTGCCTATGCCAATGTCTAGAAGGGTTTTTCCTATGTTTTCTTCTGGAATTTCTATGGTTTCTATGGAATTTCTATGCCTTATATGTAAGTCTTTTATCCATCTTGAATTAATTTTTGTATATGGTGAGAGATAGGGATCTTGTTTCATTCTTCTGCATGTGGCTGTCCAATTTTCCCAGCACCATTTATTGAACAGGGCTTCCTTTCCCCAAGTGTATGTTGTTGTCTGCTTTGTTGAAGATCAGTTGGTCATGGCTGTTTGGTTTTATTTCTGTGTTCTCTACCCTGTTCCATTGGTCTATGTGTCTACTTTTATGCTAGTACCATGCTGTTCTGGTTACTGTAGCCTCGTAGCTTAATTTGAAGTCACATAATGTGATGCCTACAGATTTGAATACTTAGTTCATTACTTGTTGAGAGAAATAAATGAGATAAGACATATAAAATGTATAGCAAGTCTTTGCCATGGTATTAGTTCTGCATGAAGATTATAAAAGTATACATTTTAGCACTCTTTTACATAAGTACTTAGACTAATTGATTTGATTCAGGGCATGGTAGGGGGCAAAATATCCTTTTTGGGTAAAGTGTGGGAGTAGATTAATAAAACACTAATACTTTTTAAGGTTCATTAATACTTTTTAGTATTATACTATTTAAAATATGCTTTTAAAAAATGTACACTGAGCCAGGCGAGGTGGCTCACGCCTGTAATCCTAGCACTCTGGGAGGCTGAGGCGGGCAGATTGCTCGAGGTCAGGAGTTCGAAACCAGCCTGAGCCAGACCAACTAAAAATATATATAGAAAAAATTAGCCAGCCATGGTGGCGCATGCCTGTAGTCCCAGCTACTCAGGAGGCTGAGGCAGGAGGATCGCTTGAGCCCAGGAGATTGAGGCTGCTGTGAGCCAGGCTGACACCACAACACTCACTCTAGCCTGGGCAACAAAGTGAGACTCTGTCTCAAAAAAAAATGTACACTGAAGTGAAGGAGAAGTTCCTTACAAGTTAATAAATAATAGTAAGTCACATGAACCTTTTAACTCAGTTTAAGCATTTGGTAACCTAACACCTAACCTTGTTTGAATAAACTCCATAATGGAATATAATGAAATGAAATATATATTTGTATATGAGTGTATGCACAAATTTATTTCTTTTAAAGAAAAGAAGCCAAGGTGGGAGGATCGCTTGAGCCGAGGAATTCAAGACCAGCCTGGGCAACATAGCGAGACCCCCATCTACAAAAAAATTTAAAAATTAGCTGGGCATGCTGGAGCACACCTGTAGTCCCAGCTACTCAAGAGGCTGAGGCGGGAGTTCAAGGTTACAGTGGGCTATGATCATGCCACTGCATTCAGGCCTGGGTGACAGAGTGAGACCTCTTCTCCAAAGAAATAAATAAAATATGCTACTAGATGTCCCACACACACGCGACAAAGCATTATCTGACCCGAAATGTCAATAGTATAGAGGTTGAGAAACCCTGCCCTAGACTGTTAAGTAAGCCATCATAATGTATCGCTCACTGTGTACCAGGCACTGTGTTACACTCCTTAGGTGCATAGTTTCATTTTGTCCTCATGACAGCCCTATGAGGAAAGAACTGTCACCATCACTTAAATGACTTGCCCAGGGCCACGCCTATTCAATGTTGGAATCAGGATTTAATTTCAGGCATTTTTGTGCCCAAAGACCGTCTTACCCACTATGCTATACACCTGTAGTGCCCAAACCTAACTTTAGCCAGCAATTTTCCACATTTTCTTAATTCGTAAACATTTATTCATTGGGACATTCAGGAGAAATCGTATCAACACAGTCCATGTGTCCAAAGTTCTAATCGATCTAGAAAGTGGGAGAGCCTGCCTTTCTCTTTATTTTATTTTTAATTGGGGTAAAATAGACATAACATAAAATTTAGCATTTTAACCATTTTTAAGTGTATAATTCAGTGGCGTTAATATATTCGCCATTTTATATGAGCATCCTTTATGTGATTTATTTCCAGAACCTTTGCATCACCCTAAACAGAGACAGAAACTCATTCATTAAACAATAACTCCCCACTTCCCCACCCTAGCCCCTAGTAACCTTTATTCTATTTTCTGTCTCTATGAATCGCCCTCTTCTAGGTCCTGACATGATTATGCTTATCCTTTGGGTCTGGCTTCATGACTTAATATAATGGTTTCAGGTTCATCTATGTTGTAGAATGTGTCCCGGCTTCATTGCTTGTTATGACTTGAATGTATTCCATTGTATTAATATATATATATTCACATTTTGTTTATCACTCATGGATATTTGTGTTTTTTCCATCTTGTGGCTATTGTCACCTCCCCTTTATTTATTTTTTTAAGACAGAGTCTCACTCTGTTGCCCGGGCTAGAGTGCTGTGGTGTCAGCCTAGTCACAGCAACCTCCAAACTCCTGGCTCAAGCATCCTCCTGCCTCAGCCTCCCGAGTAGCTGGGACTACAGGCATGCGCCACCATGCCCGGCTCGTTTTTTCTATATATTTTTAGTTGGCCAATTAATTTCTTTCTATTTTTTTT